CCGCTTCCCAAGTACGACGCCGGCGGTATCGTCGCCGGAGGCCCCTGAGGAGACCCAGTGCTGAAGCAAGGATTGAACCTCACCAAACGACCACCGGCATACCACCTCAAGCGTCCAGACACGCCGACAACAAATCCTCCAAGCAAGACAAGAGCATCACGGGCTCGCCTGAAGCATGGCCAGCGCTGCCAACGATAGACCCACCGTCTGAGCCACCGCATCACTCGTCTACAATCACTTCTGAACGAGAATGCGGTGATAGTCGCGACAAAGAAATCGTAGCCATGGTAAAGGCCCTTATGAATACCATTCGTATGCTCCTCACTAGCATTGACAGTCCGGCTGCAAAGAGTGCACTTCAGTTAGTGGATGCGCTGAAGCCGGTGCTATCAAGTCTGGAAAGGCACCATGGCTCCGCCTCTGCAAGCCTTTCGTAAAGAGGTCAAAGGAGCTTCGATATTTCAGTGGAATGCCCGAGGCCTCAAGCCCCGCATTTCTGATATACGACAATTTGTGTTCAAAAACCAGTTTCCAATTATTGTTATCTGTGAGCCAAGGCTACACAATGCAATACGACTATCCAGGTACGAAGCCTTCAAGTCCGCTACCTGCAACGAACAGAGTAAAGTCATTGTATATATCAGATGCGACCTTACCTATATCGAGCACCGTGTAGCACCTCACGATGACAACCAGTATGTCTGCTTGACAGTTAAACATAGAGACCTCAATTTCACGCTCGTAGGCGCATATATATCACCTTCGAACCGTTTTGAACCTGAAAGACTACGTGCACTGTTAACAGCCACACCTGGACCATGGATCATCACCGGAGATTTCAACGCTCACCACCCACTATGGGGAAGTCAGAAGACAGACAGTCGCGGAAGGCAAGTATTCTCCTTTGCTCTGGAGCAGCAGCTGCTTTGTGTAAACGACGGAAGCCCAACGTTTCTACGGGGAACAACATACAGCAGCTGCCTTGACTTGACATTTGTGTCACGAAGCCTAAATGGAAAGGTCAAGTGGTTCACAGACTATGAAACTCATGGAAGCGACCACATACCAACTTATTTGAAGATCAAGGGCCTGGAAAAATCGCCTAACTACGAAACTTCGACTCGCATCGACTGGACAAAGTTCAGGTCACTGACGGAAAAAAGGTGTCAAGAAAATAAAACGCCTCCTCTTGACACCCTCGAGGATATGATTAGAGGTGCTACTCAAGAAGCGACCTATCATATTCAACATACTTCAGATTATTGTCAATATCAAGCGGAATTGGAACGGCTCAGAGCGATCCGTCGTCGCGCAGAAAGAAGGTATAGGCGCACTAAGTCCATTCACGACTTGAGGGAGGCAAGGCGCCAACAGAAAAAAATTCAGCGGCGAATCATTTCACTTCAATCCTTTCGCTGGAAACATCTGTGCGAATCTTTGGATCCACACAAGCCTTTGACGCAGACATGGAGGATTGTCCGTGGCCTACGAACATCGCCACATCAACATCTCCCCTTCAAGTGTCTTTCTCTCCACCAAGGACGCACCGAAATTGAAGTAGCAGAAGATTTCTGCATGAAAGTTGCCGGTCATGCGTCCACGTGCACCACGCGCCACCTAGAAAACGCTCCAGTTTCCAGAGATTCAAGAATGGACACCTTTTTCTCTCTAGAGGAACTACAAGCGGCCTTGACGGCATGCAAACGATCTTCATCGCCTGGTCCGGATGGGATCACGTACATGGCTCTTTGCAACCTCGGAGAAGCAGCTCGACGGGCCCTTCTATCCGTGTACAACGACTCGTGGAGCAGCGGATTTATCCCTCATTCATGGAAATCCAGCCGCCTCATCCCTGTGCTTAAACCAGGTAAATCTCCTCTTCACTTAACCTCTTATCGCCCCATCGTGCTTACCAGCTGTTTCGGGAAAGTGATGGAGAGGATGATTTTGACTCGTCTAGAGTGGTACCTGGAGCGCCACGAGGTATACCCTCATGCTATGACGGGCTTTCGGCGTGGGAGGTCCGCAATTGATAACGTTATAGACCTGGTCTCATCTGTTCAGCATCAAAAAAGACTGAAACGTTTATCTGCGGCGTTGTTCTTGGACGTGAAAGGTGCATACGATAACGTATCACATGAAGCCATTCTGGATGTCATGGAAAATGTTGGATTAGGGGGTCGGGTTTACCAATGGATCCACAGCTATCTGAAAGGGAGAACTTTCTTTGTACAGACGGAGAATGGCACAACAACGCACCATTGCAACCGTCGAGGTGTGCCTCAAGGTGGCGTTCTTAGCCCCACACTTTTCAATCTAGCGCTACTCGGCCTGGTTGATGCACTTCCAGAATCTGTCCATCTATCAATATATGCAAATGACATCTGCATCTGGGCGTCAGGCGTAACACGCCTTCATTTGCGTGCCCGGCTTCAGAGAGCGGCAAAAATAGCGACAAAGTACCTGGAAGAACGGGGACTAGAGCTGTTATCAGAGAAATGCTCGCTTATAACATTCACGCATAAGGCTATGAGCCCATATGTTATTAAAATCAACGGACACACGATCAACTACGTGAAGACCCACCGATTCCTCGGAGTCATAGTTGATCGCGACCTCTCCTGGAGTCCTCACATCGCCCACATGAAAACTAAACTCACCATGATCACCGACGTACTGAGGTTCCTTGCTGGAAAAACGTGGGGTGCATCGGTACAAGCAATGCTCCAACTCTACACTGTTCTGTTCCTCGGTTATATGCGATACAGCTTACCCGTGCTTTGCGGGATCTGAAGAACAAACTTGCGCGTCCTCCAGTCGATACAAGCCCAAGCCCTGAGGATATCCCTTGGTCTCCCGAGATGCACGTCTACAGCAGCGACAGTCATCATTTCGCGTGATTATCAAGTCAACGCATATATCCGCGTAGACGCTTTGAGAATGCACATAAGACATTTCGCTCGGCTTCCATCTCATCACCTAGCCTCACTTCTAACTTCCAGGCCCCACTCAGCGTTCAGCGCAACTGTAGCTCAGCATTGCACAGTGCTTCCATTGCACTTCACGCATGCAGCACAGCCGCCGATACCATTATGGTGCCTACACCCGCTCAAAGCCCTTCTTACAATTCCTGGCATCCAAAATAAGAAAAAGTCGTCGCATCTAGCCCTGAAACAGGCCACATTACTTTTCCTGCAAGAGAAGCACAACGGACGCCTTCACATTTACACGGATGGCTCGGTGTCTTCAGTAAGCTCTGCAGGGGCGGTGGTTATTCCCGCGAGGAACATCACAATTAAATTCATGACATCGCATTTGACGTCGTCGACAGCTGCAGAACTTGCAGCCATTCGTGCAGCTCTGGAGTTTATAGTGAAAGAACCTTCGGTAATTTGGTCGATCTTCTCGGACTCGAAGGCATCTCTTCAATGTCTTATATCACCTTTTCGCCATGGACCCAATGAACAGTTAGTAGCTGAAATAAGGCTTCTTCATCGCCAAGCAACCGAAAAACAGCACAGCATAGTGTATCAGTGGATACCAGGCCATTGCGGTATATATGGCAATGACCGCGCAGATGAGGCCGCTAGATCTGCACACGATGGTACCCAATACACAGCCATCCCGTTCTCAAGAACCGACGCAGCTACAAGACTTCGTTCGCTTGCACGTGACCTCACATTGGCACAGTGGAACTCGACAGACTTCACAAACGCACGCCTGCATAACTTGGATCCCGATCTGCAGCTTCGTCTTCCCCCAAGGATATCTCGAGCTGAGGAGACTCTTCTATGCCGCCTGTGGCTTGGAGTGGCCTTCACGAATGCATACTCTTATCTCATCGGGATGGCCAGCTCTCCTACATGCACTTACTGCAGTTGCGAAGAAACCATCGCGCACCTTCTGTGTGAGTGCACCCATTTCAACGTGCAAAGACAAGAACTCACTGCAGCTCTGGATAGACTAGACAATCGGCCTTTTGTCGGAACAAAGGATTCTGGGTCATTGGCCAAGCCCATCCTCAGCCCAGAAGGCTTTGAAAGCTTTGCTGCGCTTTTTGCGGACAACTGGCCTCAGAGACAGACTTTAGTGTCTTATACTCGTTGATGTTGCCTTTCCTCTGTCGCAATTTTTTTTGTAATTTCTCCCTCTCTTCGCAATATTTCTTTTTTAACATCTATCATTCCCCTCACCCCTTTCCCCAGCACAGGGTAGCAAGCCGGTCTAAGAACTAACTAACCTCCCTGTCTTTCCGCTTAAACTTTCTTCCTCCTCCTCCGAACTGTCGTCACACTGGAAATCTATGAAAACCTTATTGAACCTTTTGCCAGAAAGTGGATCTTTAGATGGGCTATAGCCCACCCGCTCACCACCTTCTTTTTTTGTTTCTTTGCATATTTTCTCATGCCTCATCTTTTCTCTACTGCGATTTCTATCTTTCTTTCCCCCTTGTCATATATTTTATATATTTCATATATAATCATATATTTCAAACCGTCATTTGACCTTTCCTTTCTTTGTAATCTCTCTTCGACACGCATTTTCGACTGATTAGAATAGTGAGTGCTATATATACACTAAAGTGCAAATTGAATACTTACAACTTTTTATGCCTCCTATTTCGAAATTTGAAATATTCCTACGCACCTATAGTGTAAGTATCAGTCACATATGCAGTGACCTGGCTTCGCAAGCGCATATTTATTATGACAGGTTGCCTATATGGTCTTTCATTATGCCCTACTGATTGTCTTCCCCAAAATACCCGATGGGGGTTATGGTGCCCCACTGCTGACTCGAAGTTCGTAGAATCCAAGCCGGCCACGGCGGCCACGTTTCGCTGGAGGCTTGAAGAGAGTGCACCATGATTTAGGTGCACTTTAAAGAACACCAGATGGTCAAAGTTTCTTGAGTACTCCACTTAGGAATCTCTCGTAACTATATCTTTGTTACGGGGTGTAAAACTCAGAAATTATTACTATGAATACTGCAATTCAAATAGCGTAACACACAGATGAGTTTTATTACAACGTTCATAAATAGACCACGTCAATGAAATGAAGTATGATGATCTCAACAACTTCTCTCCAACCTTTTGAACCAAAGTGCGTATACCCGTTCCAAGAACGATCAAAACATGGAAAAGCTCATGTGGGAAAATGCTTGTTCGAGCTTTTCCTCGTAGTAAGAGGAGAACTTCTGCTGCAGCTCTTTCACGAGGTACCGACGGATGTGGGACTCTAAGCTGTTCCTTTGATTTGAGCTCAAGAAGAGGTTGTCCCCGAGCGTCACTTCAAAGCAGGAGTTTTCCACGACGAAAGTGCGCAGGAAGGCAGGTTCGTTCCTGGCAGAAGTAACTTCTAGCCGGCCGGTCGTGCCGCACATACGTGCGTCAACATGAATGTAATTTCTGGAGCCGTACCAGCACCCACAATCCGTCTGAAAAAAAAAACAGGGACATTCATGGTTTGACGCTGCATTGTATAGCTTTTAAATTTGAAGCATTTCTTAGCGAATTTCAGCGACTTTGAGCATATCTATCTATCTATCTATCTATCTATCTATCTATCTATCTATCTATCTATCTATCTATCTATCTATCTATCTATCTATCTATCTATCTATCTATCTATCTATCTATCTATCTATCTATCTATCTATCTATCTATCTATCTATCTATCTATCTATCTGTCTGTCTGTCTGTCTGTCTGTCTGTCTGTCTGTCTGTCTGTCTGTCTGTCTGTCTGTCTGTCTGTCTGTCTGTCTGTCTGTCTGTCTGTCTGTCTGTCCGTCCGTCCGTCCGTCCGTTTGTCTGCCCACTACGACTCTTTTTAGCTCTCCTGGTCGTTTCGTTAATGGTATCAATACCAAATTTGGTATGGCTGAACATGACTGTATGACGAGCATAATTAACAAGTCATAACAAGAATATCATGATATGTATGTCATGAATGTCATGATTTACATTGCTTGATCTTGTTGCTCTTGCAGTGGTTTCGTTCACATGGCATGTTGCAAAATAGGCATAGTATGACATGCCTCCAGGGTAAACACAAGTGACAGACCCTAACGTGGAAATCATGACATGTATGCCACGTAAGTTATAAGTCATGGCTTATAAGTCATGTAAGTCATGGTACGCTCGCGGTCGTTCCGCTAGCTTCCATACACCAAATTTGGTATTACGAGACGTGAATACATGACGAAGGTATATGACTGGTGGAAACATGATAGTCATGACATGCGTGTCGTGTAACAATATGACTACGCGCCATGCTCACGATGCACTCGCTGGCCATTTCGCTAGCTACACATAAACCATATTTGGTATTACATGACGTGAATGGACGACGAAGGTAGATGACACGTCCGAACATGATAATCATGATATGCGTGTCATGTAAAACATGACTACATGCTACGCTCATAATGTGCTCGCAGTCGTTTTACTAGTTCTCCATATACCAAATTTGGTATTCTGTGACCTGAATGGACGACGAATGTAACTGACATGTCGAAACATGATAACCATGACATGCGTGTCATGTGAAACTGGACAATGCTACACTCATAGCACGTTCACGGCCGTTTCGCTAGCTCATATATATCAAATTTGGTATCAGGTGACGTGAATATATGATGAAGGCAAATGACACGTCTAAACATGATAATATGTTTAGACGTGTCGTTTTTTTTTCTATGAACAGGAAAATAAGATAACCTTAAGCCTCAAGCCTCAATCAGGACATATAAGTCATGCGCGGCATAATTTACCTCCACCTCGTAACGTTGTGCTGATTTTAAAGTGACATATCGACCTTCCTCACTAGTACTTCACATATCATCGATTCTCACTATGCATTTAGTCTGCCAATTTTTCAAGTGGTCTTTTGCCGGAAATTTCCGTTCACTCAGTAACGTATGTGTCTGAGACGTTTATTTCTTCTTGAATGAATGCTATCAGTTAACATTCAATGAAACTAGTCGAAGTACTTGAGCTGAAGTAAAATTGATTCGGTTAAATACTAATATACAAATACTAAGAGCACGAAAGGCAGACAAGTGAGCTTGCTGAGGAGCACGTGTCCGAGCCTTGTGTTCCTTCTCATGTCAGATGGTTGCCGAGAAAATCGGCTAAAACCTAGTATTGAGCAGTGAGAGGCACACCTCACCAGCGCGGACCCAGGAGTGCAGCTCGAACTCCTGGATCAAGTCTGGTGGGTGGCTAAGGTCAGTGGATGTACTGGACGTAAGGCACCAATTACACAAGCTCCAAAATCCCCCTTTTCCTTTTCTCTTGAGTAAAGTTTCCCTCGCTCTGTCATTTCAGTATTTACTAAAATTTTGATTACAGCTATGTACCAACTAGCCCGAAAGTTGCCGCTATTGAGTAGCAATATTTTGTTTGAATCTGATTACTCCTTTTTTAATTATGCAAGGTTTCGTAGAATTTATTTGTCCAATCTTAGTCCTTTTTGGCGGAATTTCTTGATTTGCTTTATTTATGATAGAACATGCATTTTTTATCTGAGTCATGAATGACTTTAAAGATGGAAATCGCCACGTAAAAGTTTGTATCCCGACCTATTTGTAAGTGTCTAACCATTTCAATACTACCAAGTACATAATCGCGGATTGTGATGTGGACGTCAAGATCGTGAAAGCCCCAGGGAATCACTGACAGAGCGTCACCGTGTTATCGTCATAAATACGGTGCAGGCGTATATTCAGATTGCCATGGAACGCGCTTAGGCACCCAGCAAAAGGATGCCGTGGATGCCGGTAATTGATGTCCGGCTGTCATACCTCTGTCATGAGTTCGGCGACGACGCCATCAATGCTGAGACTGCAGCTGATGGTCACATTTCCCGCCACCATTGAGTGGACGCAGTTGCCGCGGCGCCTCACTGCGTTCCTAAAGTTCCTGAATCGGCCCGAGATTACTTCCACCTCCAAGTCGTTTTCCCTCCATGATGTACTGTGTACCTGAAAAAAAAAACAAGGGGGATGGGGATGGGAAGGTCGTTGCCTCCTCATTATCACAGCATGCTTAAGCATCAAGCTCTAACTTAACAGTGCACACAGCATCTGGCAAACTATCGCGCCGTTATTTGAGGGAAATACCCATCAGTTGGTATTCGAAGGCCCGAATCTTCACCTGGGCTTCAGAAACCATTTTGAAAGGCCCGGAGAACCGCAACTGCCAGTGGGGCTCTGGACGAGCAACTGTTCTTACAGTAACCAAGGAGCTTTATTTTTTATTACAGCTCTTTCTTTCTCTCTAACAATAGCAAAAGGCCGGTACAGAATATGATATTACATTAAAGCACAACAGATATTCATAAACGGAAATTCAACATTTAATTTTGAATATTGCTGATACAAATTACAAGAACGGCCCGTTACAGGATACTGAAAGAATGCATTTGATACTGATTATACAGGCAGTGAGCCACTAAACGCTCACTCTAAAATGTTGTAGGGAGTAGTTTTGATGAGGGGTATGTTGGAACATGTGCGAGAAAGTCTGGTAGACCTGACCAGTGCTTGCTCCAGCTATGAGTTCACGTAGGATATTTAAAGATGTATCATTAAGGCCAGTTTCAAGCAACCGTTTCTAAACATTGCAGGTTTTTTCTTTGTAAGGGCTCTGTGCACCTTCGGATATGAATTGTGTTTATTTCACTCGTGGAAACACGCTTTGTTTGAACCTTGTCCTTCGAGGTCAAATGATTTGCAGGAACAATAGTATTATATTTCACAAGTATTTTTCTACTGAGTGCATATTGAGATAATAAAAACACGTGAGGTTTATCGTCCCGGAACCATATGATTACGGGAGATGCCGTATACGGGAATGTTCCAGAAATATCGACCACCTGGTATTTTTTAGCATGCACCTACCTCTTACTACTACTACTACTACTACTACTACTACTACTACTACTACTAATTCTGCAGCTGCTACTACTGCTAGTACTAGTACTAATGTTAAGATTGTTCTATATACAATATTGTAATAATATTTGTTGTTCTAGTGGTAAAAGTAGTAGTAGTAATGACAGGGCTCACCGTGAAGTAGCAGGACGGCAGCGATAGGTGTTCGGATGTTTCCCTGACGAGAGTGGGCATTCTTCGCAGAAGCACACTGTCGACAAATTCGTTCGCCTGACTTACGGTGTTGGTTCCCGTGCCTCCTACGGAAGATTAGAACCACGAGCATCAGCTATGTCCAGAGAATTATTCAGACGTTATAAACAGAGCGCTTACCGCAGCTCGTTTGCAATGGCTTGCGCACTACCTGCTTGTTGCGTACAGTATCAGAATGAATGAGCTGGATGAAGGTCCCAATCAAGATAGGAAGGGAAAAAAAGCAAAATGAACAAGGCAATGAGATTAACCAGATACATGCCCGGTTGACTGCCCTTTGCTGTGGTAATGGAGAAGGTGACCAGAAAGAAGATAGTAAAATTAAAGGCTTTCTATTTCGCTTTCCTGACCATAAACAGTGCATTAGTGACCTATGCTTCTGTTTCAAATGAAAAGACCGGGGTGTAGGCAGGTTCTCTGCTACTCTTGACTGAACTTTCTCTGTTCAAATTCCAGATTATATACCCATATTTACTGCAGATTCATTTTCTGTTTTTGTAGCACTACACAAACTTCCTTTAAGCGAATGAGAAGCGGTTATATTGGCTGATGCTCTTTCAATATACACATGTGTTTCGCTCTTCTGAATGTAAGGTAGAAAGGAAAGAAGGAAGGGGGCAATTACTGCACTGGCGAATATGTGTTGGTTACTCTATAGAATTAAAAATGCATTCACACAGGCCTGCCATGCTCACAAAACATGAAAATACTTTATTGCCATGTGAGTCGACAAGCGATAAGGAATGGTGCTTCAGCAGTATTTGCGCGAAAAGGGACCGATCCCACAGTCGTTACAGCGCTAAAGAGAGCGTTCGTATTTCCCAAGCAATTGAGGATCAGTGGCCTTGCGAATAGTCAAGGTCTCGCTAAAGAATCAAATAGTAATATATCACTAAAGAGTAGCTTGTGATTGTCTGCCTGTAAATGTATTGGGATATCTGAAGATGCTTTATGAAGTTTCAATCATAAATGGCAAGTAGAACGCACACTGTTTCTCTAAAAAATCACAAAACAAATGAAAACGCGTGATATATATACAGCAAAGCTACATTACCTGCTTAAACCCAGAATAAAGTTAGAAGATTTATTTATTATTTTTGCCCTCAAGGGTGTACAGAGAGGAAAAGTTAAAGATACAATTTAGGTTCCTGCGGTTACACAAAGTTAGCTAATGACTCACAAAAACGCACACTCTTGTACAGAGGCAACAGATTCAGGAACAGTAGTTCCAGTCCTTACGAAATCCAAGGTGTGGTTCCATCAAATGTATGCACGTGAGGGGTTTGAGGTCGCACGGAGTTTATGATTTATCGAAACATTATACAGTTCGCGAGGTTCACGAGAATAGAAAATAATGTTTTCTTAAACGCAACTACTAGAGGCTTGCTTTGAGAGCGGTTCTCTAGTTTACTATTTCTCAAAGGGTAGGGCAATGTGGCACTGAAAATAGAATCGAATCAAAGAAAGAACGAATGACGACACAAGCGTTTTCGCGTAGGTTTCAGTGCTCTGGACATACTGTATGCAATCCCGTCTCCCACGAAACATTTGAACGCGGACTTTAATGTGCGTAGAGTGTGTTCAAGAAGTGCTCAGAGCACACGAGAGTCACTGCAGTATAAAGCGGGTGGAATATAATATGACTGAACCTGTGGTCGTTTAAAGTGTGCGTTGTGAGTGCATGTTCTTGTTTCATTGGAACGTCGGACAGAACGGTCCACAATTATTGACGCTTTGAGGTAATAATTCAACCCATCTTGGGTCACTACCCATCCTGGCTTACTCACCGGTGTGTTTTAGAAGCCCAAATCTGTCGTATTAGTACGAGACCACTATCAGAGAAGAAGATCCTGATCTACGAAATCGTGGATGCGCGATGCCACGAAATAGTATTGTTGCTTGAAGGCGACAGCATTTGACGAGCGTTTGGGAATTAGAACATGATCATGTTGCGTCTGTTTAGAGTAGTGGTTCATTTATCATTTATTTTGCTTTTGTTCTTCTCCATCTCACCTACCATTTCCTATTTCTCCCTTCCCCCCACGCATTTGTCTGTCACCCGAGCCAAAGCTTGATCATTCCCGCTTCGATTCGCATAAATTTATCTCTCGCTTGTGTGAGAGCTTGGTACGCTCTATATAGAATTTTCGCATTTTATATTATCAGAGTGTGGTGACACATAATGAAACCAGCGACTTTTCATACACTGTGCGTCGTATAACCATGACCATGTTATCGAGTTATATAATAAAAACAATACCGTCAACTTTGTATGGTAGGAGAAAGGATAACGTACCTCGCACCAGAGTTCCAGTGCAGTCACCGTAGGAGTAGTCATCGTCGTACTCATGGACCTCATAGTCGAAAACTCTTTCGTATGACAAGGCTGCGACGTTGCCTATATGCAAACATGTTTAGTGAGAAAGAATCACGAATTTAATAAACGACTCAACCTGGAAAGGGTTTCTCTAATAAATACTTTCAAAAATATAAAAATTAAGCACTCTAAACTTTTTTTGAAACCAGCTGACTTAACGAAACAAGAAACTTCATGCTCAATGCTTGCGCACGTTTGCGAAAGGGCACACAGAAAAACATTAGACCTATGAAATAACTTTAGTTTCTTTATAGTTACCATCTTTTTTGTATTGAACTGCAAATTGTTTGTCGAATGCTTACGTATCGAACAGTCAGCGCATAGAAAGTTTTACGCATGCTTGAGTGAGCCCCCTTTTTTCCACCTTCGAAGAAAGTCTTTTCAGCTTTGCCTTAGTGCATGTTCGGCACTTCGCCATTTAAATGCATGCAAATCGTAGAAGTACCTATTACTAGCTAGACATCTTGGAATTATAAATGGTTCTTTTTGCTTTTGGAAGTTTGTTGAGACTGAAAGTCAAAATTTCGATCAACAGCGTGTGCTTTTGTCAAAGGTATGTTGAAAAAGAAGCTAATCCCAAAGTCTTAAAAACCCTAACTGTCGACGAAAAAAAAAACGTACAGCAGTTTCTTATAAATTGTACCCTTTAACCAACAGTATAAGGTGGAATATATTTGAGATATGCGCTCAATCGTTTGCATCCTTAATAACAGTAAAAAGAAAACAGAAAGCGACTTGTATTTACTTCCTAAAATTTGCCATAATTAAGCGTTTTCTTTGAAGTGCTGCAAGTCCCTTAACACTACAGCTGTAGCTTCCGCAATGAAAAATTTCTTTGTTCCATCATTCGGGGCAGTTCAGCTCGTGTATCATTAAAAAAAAGCATTGTGAACTTTTCCGCAATCTCTCTCTCCCCTATCTCTCTCTCTCTCCTCTCTCTCTCTCTCTATATATATATATATATATATATATATATATATATATATATATATATATATATATATATAGTGGGAGTAATAATTCAATGGGCCAGTTAGTCTTTGTGAAGGTATGAGATATGGCACAACGGGAGCGTTGTCAACAAGGATAAATATATTTATTTCCCAACAGTTTCAGGAGGGGTCCTCCCTTCATCAGGGGCTGAATTCGATGCTCTACCACTCCCACGTTTAATTCACATATAAACCCTATAAAGTGGCTGGGGGGATAGCTGTCGTGATAGCTCAGTGGTAGAGCATTGAACGCGTCATTCGAAGGTCGCAGGTACGGATCCTGCCCACGGCAAAATATCTTTTCACCCACTTTTCTTCATATTTACATTACAATTTGGTTTAATATCTTCCCCTATACTTTCCTTGGCATCATTGTCTGTTAGATCTCATTAATATTGTGTAAAAACATGGAAAAACGAGCTCCTAGGTATACACTTCTTTCCTTAAATATATATATATATATATATATATATATATATATATATATATATATATATATATATATATATATATATATATATATATATTGTATTGTATTGGGGAATTCGCAAGGCAATGACTAGTGGGATCATCTCCGAGTGCAAAGCGGGAGCGTGTGCACGATCTGTAGACGCTGGACTGCTCGAGTATTTGTGTCCGTACTGGCTGTCTGCCTACTACCTGGCGTCGCTATTAAACTCCCTCGCAAAGTAGTGGAGGTGCTGGGTACGCAAATCTGGAACGTCGAAGCTTTGAGCTGCCCATTGCATCAGCAATTCCTGATCAGACGACCGAGCTAGGTGCCACCCAGAAAAGCACGGCCCAATCTCAACTGGTCATCGTGCCTACCACCCTGCGCCAACGGGATCCCCCCTTTTTCAGCGGCGCCGAGAACCAAGATCTGGAAGACTGGATGCAGCTGTTTGAAAAGGTGAGCGCCGCCAACAAGTGGGACGATCCTTCGAAATTGGAGTATGTCCCATTTCATCTCAAAGACGTCGCCAGCCTGTGGTTCGCAAACCACAGCACTGAATTTACCACTTGGGCCGCTTTTAAGACCACCCTTGCATCTGTGTGTGTTCGTCCCGCAGTGCACAAGCTGCGTGCTGAACAGAGCCTACGTGGACATGCACAAAGGCCGGGTGAAAACTTCACTAGCTATATCGAAGATGTTGTCGATTTATGCCAACGCTTTAACCCCGAGATGACCGAACAAGACAAGATCAGGCATATCTTGAAAGGCATAGACGATGATGCCTTTCAAATGTTGCTGGCAAAGGGCTCAAGTACCGTATCCGAACTTACAACCTTGTGCCTGAGCTTGGAAGAGATTCGCAAACAACGCACATCAGTTCGGAGGTCGACGACAGCAGACGACTCTCGCTGCCCTGACCGTCGGTGTTGACAGCACCCTGCTGGAGCAGATAAAAGAATATGTACGCGAAGAGGTCGCACGACAGCTGTCCTGTCTCTCGTATCCTCCGACCACAGAAGCACCAACGAACCGCCTAACGCCGACAATCGTACAGGCTATTCAGGAGCAGGTCTCCGAGGCGTTGCCATTACCTACCTCTGCCTCTCCACCAATACCTGTTGCCGCGCCACTGACTTATGCGGCCGTCGCGGCAATGCCTCCGCCTCGTCTTTCATTGTAAACGCCACAACCTGTGCGACCGTCCACCGCGCCATTTCCAGCTACACAGCAGTACACTGGAAATCCTTGGCGCACTGCTGACAACCGGCCAATATGTTACTTTTTGCGGACTTCCAGGTCACGTTGCACGTCTACGTCGTCGGTGCTTCGCAGTTAACGCACCAAGATAACCTGACTACACGTATCAGCCTCCTTACCACGTGCCTCACGTGCCACCTGAAGTTCACGAACGCGATGCGCAAGCTTCTTCTGGCACCCGAACCTTTAGCTTATCCTGGTTTTAGCTTATCCTGAAGAAATGTCGCTTCGGGGCTAAACAACTCACCATACTTGGTCAAGCCTCCAAAGCCGGCATCCTTCCCGACCCTGACAAGCTTCGCGCTGTTGCTGAATTTCCTAAGCTGACTACAGTTAAAGCACTACGGAGCTTTGTGGGCCTATGTTTCTATTTTCGTTGGTTTTTCCGGAACTTTGCTTCCATCATCGCTCCGCTCACCAAACTCCTTACTGGCCCTGCAGATCTTTCGAATTGGACAGCAGCCTGTGACGAATCCTTCGCAACACTCCGCCAACTCCTTACCTCACCACCCGTACTGCGTCATTACGATCCTACTGCGCCGACCGAAGTACACATGGGTGCAATTGACGTCGGCCTTGGTGCAGTACTCGCGCAACGCAAACCAGGTTTTACGGAGTATGTGGTCGCCTACGCCAGCCGTGCCCTCACTAAGGCAGAAGCCAGCTATTCTGTTACGGAAAAAGAGTGCCTCACGATTGCGTAAACAAGTTTCGCCCCTATTTGTACGCCAAACTTTTGATGTGGTAACTGACCATCACGCACTCTGTTCATTGGCTTCACTAAAAGATCCTTCTGGTCGCCTTGGACGTTGGACACTACGCCTCCAGAAATTCGACATACGCGTCGTCTAGCGATCGGGGCGAAAGCACTCTGACGCAGATGCGCTTTCACAATCACCCGTGAAATCTGATGATACGGAAATATCAGCCCTCGACCTTCCTCTATCTGCCGTTAGCGTCAAAAACATGCCATCCAAACAGCGGAAGGGCCCTTGGATTGTCTCGCTCTTGAATATGCTTTCTGACGCATCAACTTCCGGTCACCCGCATGCTCTTCGCCGCCAAGCAATGAATTTCGACATACGGGAAGGCCTGTTATACCGTCGCAACTATCAAGCGACGGGTCATAAATGGCTGCTAGTCATCCCAGCCATATGCGGTCTGATATCTGCGAATATTTTCATGCTTAACCGCAACTCGCTCATGCCTGTGCGCTAAAGACGTATGAGCGGATCCCCCAATGTTACTACTGGCGGGGTATGTACACGTTTGTACGCAAACACATTCGCTCATGTTCCCTGTGTCAGCAGCGCAAGACATTTCCTCATTCACCCGGTCAAATGCAGCCTTTACCATGTCCTGCACGCCCGTTTGACCATATTGGGTTTGACCTATAGGGCCCGCTACCGTGATCTGTTGGTGGCAATTGATGGGTGATTGTAGCTGCAAATTAGCTGACAAGGTATACATGCCGAAACGGCAGCGCTACCTTCGGCTGGTGCTCGTGACATTGCAACCTTCACCTTGCATTGGTTCGTTCTTCGTCATGGTGCATCACGGGAGCTCCTGAGTGATAGAGGTCGCGTATTTTTGTCTGAAGATCTGCAGCAGCTCCTAAATTTATGCCGTACGGCACACCGCACATCAACAGCCTACCACCCTCAGACGAACGGCCTAACGGAACATTTCAATAGAACCCTCGGAGACATGCTCGCTATGTATAGTGATTCCGACCACTCCCATTGGGACGTTGTTCTTCCTTTCGTTACGTACGCCTACAATACGGCGATTCAATCAACAACGGGATTTTCTCCATTTTTTTCTTCTATGTGGTCGTGACCCATGCAGTACACTCGACGCAATTCTGCTATACAATCTTGATGCCTCCGAGTTCAGCCCAGCTTATGAAATGGCCGAACATGCCGAAGAGTGTCGTCAGCTTGCACGGTCCTTCACAGCCGATAATCAAGCCCTCCAAAAAGATCGCCACGACCGTGATCTTGTTCAGGACACATTCCCCGTCGGTTCTCTCGTGTGGCTCCGACTGCCTTCCCACTCTCTTTGACTGACTCTCAAGTTTGCACCAAAGTATACTGGCCCTTACCGCTTCATACAGCACCCTTCTTCTGACACCTATGTGATTGGACCACTCAAGCCATCCTCGGACAAGCGCAGCCTTGGTCGTGAGATGGTCCACGTCAGTCGCCTCAAGCCCTGCTATGACCCACCTGTTCTCTCGCCACCTTGAGTAGCCAGGATGGCTGGTTTTCGTCGCCGGGGTATTGTAGTGGGGAATTCGCAAGGCAATGACTAGTGGGATCATCTCTGAGTGCGAAGGGCGAGCGTGTGCACGGGCTGTGGACGCTGGACTGCTGGAGTATTTGTGTCTGTACCGGTTGTGTGTCTGCCTACTACCTGGCGTTGCTACTCAATTCCCCTGCAATATATATATATATATATATATATATATATATATATATATATATATATATATATATATATATATATATATATATATATATATATATATATATAGAGAGAGAGAGAGAGAGAGAGAGAGAGAGAGAGAGAGAAAGAGAGAGAAACTTGACTTGGCCCCGATATAAACTTGGCACTTAATGTACCGTATACACACGCCATGATCAAGCGTTCTTTTTGTTTTTCATTGGTAAATAAATAGTTTTGAGATTGTACATGGACGATTGTCCAAGCCCAGCAAGCAACGGGCATAACAAAATTATTGTTTTTTATTTATCAAACTGTATATGCGTCAGTCTCACAGTCGCGGTGACACAGTTACGGTAACGAAGTGGATCCCATTGTCGATCTGCCTCCATAGTTTCGAAGTAATCAGGAATCGCATGGTAGTCATAAACTGCTCAGAGGTCTATTTTCTGTTTGTAAACTGGAGTAGGCGCCGTCGACATTCTGAGTTTCTCGAAGCGACGTGGGCGTGGCGCGCAGGCTCCGCCCAAGCCAGTGCTCGCCACCGACCTCAATGATCAAGTGATAAATGTCGCAGTAGCTGCAAATCTGGCTTCGAGCACAGCGCGTAGGGAAGCCTTACAAGTGTTCGAAAAGAGCTTGGGTGGAAACAACGCACCGGTACATTTGTATCTACACGCGCCTCAGTACTTAGATGACGCCTACACATGTTTAGAAGCATGAAATAGGTCTAGAGCGTACAAAGCGGTTTTTAGAAGTTCGGCCTGTTTGGCGGCCTCAGTTTTAATCATATTATATCAGGAGATGTTACTGAACCTCAATTCAATATAACAAGGGTAATTCACCTTGCGTGAATGGATCCACAATAGCGCAGCTGTTTATACTTTGTGTGCTACAGTGCTTATACACCCTAAATGCACGAGTCCCTGAAAGCAATACGGTCAGTATGCAGACAAAGATAAAGCATTGACCAAGGAAGATGATTAGTTGCACGTGCTTATGTTTTGTCTGAATTTTACTAGTAGCCAAGACTTTCCTGTTCCCCTATGATTAGCTTTGCAAAGCTCGAGTTATGACAATATTACTATATTTAAAAAAATCAGAGAGCAATCTTTCTCATCGTGTTAGAATAGCGTAATTATTACGACCACTTTAAGAAAAAAAGCATGGTTTGCTCGTGTTATATGATGCAAACAGCACTTACCAAAGTGCGCGATGATAAGTAACACCAGGATGATGACCCACATGATTTGTTTCATCGTTGCCTGTTCATGAAAAAAGAAAGAAATAAACTCAAAATGTGCTTGCGGACGAGACACGTGTAAAAAACTAGTGCAAGGCACACACAAGTAAAAGAGAATCGAAAGATGGTGTGGAGCGGTGGTGGTGGTGGTGGTGCGAGCTAGATAGGTGATTGCCACAACAGTGGGCAGAGGCAAGCGCATAAACGTAGCATCAGTGGATAGTCTATAATCAAGACCCCCACGAAGTTCACTCGTTCAGGCTCTCAGAATGTTCCTGGGTTCTTAGAATGTTCCAAGATGCTTGGTTACAGTTGTGAGAAATATGATCTGGAACACTGAAAATACCTTTTGCGAAAAGTGCTAATGCGAAAAGGGCGAAAAGTGGGAAAAGTGCTAATGGTACCTAATTATCGAGCGAGTAGGTATCTCTGGCAATTCACTGCGTCACATTATGTCAGTACATTGCAGGTAATCATTAAAAAACATGAATTTCGGGTCGCAGCTCACTTGCGCATCTGACACCACTGGTCGACCACACAGTTTCCGCCCTAACCACCTATTCGCCACCCAATTTTTCATCAACGTCGCTCACGTCACGTTCCTGTTCCGACCTTTTCAAGCCAATGCTATCTGACAAGCTCACCTCTGAACAAGTCTCTGCTTTCTGCCGTGTTCTTGCTTCTTATCAGGACATCTTTGACTTCGGCGACCGTAGTTTGGGCCAGACATCCGTGGTAACCCATCGCATCGACACCGGTGACGCTCGACCAATTCGCCGACGACCCTACCGTGTGTCAGCCCCGGAGCGTGCTATTATACAACGAGAAGTCGATAAAATGCTTGATAAGGGCTTAATTGAACCCTCATCTAGTCCTTGGTCCTCACCCGTTGTACTCGTTAAAAAGAAGGACAATAGCTGGAGATTCTGTGTTGATTACCGCCATCTCAACCATATTACCAAGAAAGATGTCTATCCCCTACCGCGCATAGATGATGCACTCGATTGCTTGCGCGGTGCCAAATATTTCTCTTCAATAGACCTTCGCTCAGGCTACTGGCAGATCGCTGTGGACGACAAAGACAGAGAGAAGATGGCCTTCGTGACTCCTGATAGACTTTATCAGTTCAAGATGATGCCTTTTGGATTATGCAATGCCCCTGCGTCATTTGAGCGCATGATGGACTCTCTCCTTCGAGGCATGAAGTGGACCATCTGCCTCTGCTATCTTGACGACGTTATTGTTTTTTCGACTACTTTCGATGACCATCTTACCCGTCTGTCCACAGTGCTTGATGTTTTTCGACGTGCCAACTTGCAACTTAACTCGTCCAAATGCCGCTTTGGGCAACGCCACATCTGCGTACTCGGCCATCTTGTTAACGCTGTGGGCGTTCAATCAGACCCTGCGAAAGTCCGAGCAGTTCTCGACTTCCCCTCACCCCGCTCAGCCAAGGACGTCCGAAGTTTTCTGGAACTGTGCTCCTATTTCCGTCGTTTTGTCGAGAAGTTTGCTGAAGTAGCCCATCCTCTAACCTGCCTCCTCAAAATGGATGTCGTATTCACCTGGGGCCAACAGCAAGCAAACGCCTTCTCGTCGCTCGTTGACATTCTCACCAATCCACCAGTCCTAGCACACTTCGACCCATCTCCTGCCACGGAGCTTCGTACTGACGCCAGTGGCCACGGCATAGGGCAGTGCTGGTGCAGCGGCAACAAGGCATGCACCGCGTCGTCGCGTATGCAAGCCGATTGTTGTCGCACTCGGAAAAAAATTGTTCCATCACAGAACGCGAGTGCTTAGCTCTCGTCTGGGCCATTGCGAAATTCCGACCGTACCTGTATGGCCGACCATTCTCAGTTATTACGGAACACCATGCGCTTTGCTGGCTCTCCTCACTCAAGAACCCTACGGGACGCCTTGGTCGCTGGGCGCTGAGCTTACAAGAGTACACTTTTTCCGTATCCTATAAATCCGGACAACTTCACAAGGATGCCGACTGCTTGTCCCGTTACCCAGTCGATTTCCCTGACACGAGGGAAGATGAACAAGAGACCCTCGTTCTTTCAATTACCGACTTCACCGACATAAGTGCTGAGCAACGCCGCAACCCCTCTTCGCGTGCTATTATCAATGGTCTGCGCTCCCCCCACCCTGACCGCTCCTTACAACTGTTCGTTCTTCACAACAACATCTTGCACCGCTACAACGCCCACACTGATGGTGCTGAGCTTTTACTCGTTGTTCCTGTGCATCTTCGCTCAGATGTTTTGGCCCAGCTGCATGATGCCCCCTCCGCTGGACACCTAGGGGTGTCACGCACGTATGACCGCATTCGCCGCCGATTCTTTTGGCCTGGCCTCTACCGTTCCGTGCGACAGTACGTTGCGGCATGCGACCTCTGCCAGCGCCGCAAGACACCTGCTCTGAGACCTGCTGGTACTCTCCAGCCCATTGAAGTACCAGATGAGCCATTTTTCCGAGTCGGCCTCGATCTTCTAGGACCCTTTCCCGTGTCGGCCACCGGTAATAAGTGGATTGCTATTGCTACCGACTACGCAACGCGGTATGCCGTTACACGCGCCCTCCCCACCAGCTGCGCTACTGATGTAGCCGATTTCCTTCTTCATGACATCATTCTGCGTCATGGTGCTCCTCGTCAGTTGATCACCGACCGCGGCAGCTGTTTTCTATCTAAAGTAGTCGACGAGCTCCTGCGATCCTGCTCTACCCACCACAAGTTCACTACAGCGTACCATCCGCAAACCAACGGCCTCACGGAACGCCTCAACCGTACCCTAAAGAATATGTTTGCGATGCACGTCTCCAAGGATCACAAAGATTGGGTCATCCACTTACTTTTCATTACCTTCGCATACAACAGTTCACGTCATGATACAGCTGGATTTTCACCTTTTTATCTACTATTTGGTTATGACCCGCCTTTGCCCATGGACACCATGCTCCAATCTGACGCCTCCTCATCGACTGCTTATGCTCGTGATGCCCTGGCCCGAGCTGGCATTGCCAGCCATGTCGCCCGAGATCGTTTATGTGCCTCGCAGCTTAACCAAAAGAGTGCTTACGATCGCCGGCACCGCGATGTACAGTACTCTCCGGGGTCACTAGTCTTGCTGTGGTTACCATCACGTCGTGTTGGCCTCTGCGAAAAACTGATGTCCCGTTACGTTGGCCCCTACCGCGTCATACGCAAGGTCACCAGCGTGACCTATGAGATAGCTCCACTCCATACCACGTCAGTACCAGCTTCAGTCCCGATCGATATAGTGCACGTCTCACGGCTTAAACCATACTACTCACGCCTCGAGAATTGATCGCACGGGGACGGTGCTTCTGCCGCTGGCGGGTAATGTCACGGGCTAAGTAGATGCCTGAGGATGACGACGACGAAGTGCTGAACGTGACCCCTCTCGGACTGCAGCAGCGTTGTACGCTTTGGCTCGCCAGTATATTCGCCAGTACGCATTTGCTCGCCAGCGTATACTTTATTCCCCGTAACATCATCAGTGAAAGTCCGTTCTAGCGTTTCACAAGAATAAAAGAACGCCCTTGAAAGAGCTAATCCAGTGAGAAAAGCGAAATTCACAGTCTTCTCTGTGCAGAGTGCAACTAAAAAGAAGGGCATCTGAACCGTCTGCTGATGTCTTCCCAGTAGACGCGCTAACCAGTGATCGAGCTCACGCCCTTATACTCATTGTTCCCAATTGCTGCTCGAGTAAACCGCCCCCTCTCCTATGATCCATGGTTTTGTATATATATATATATATATTATATATACATATATATATATATATATATATATATATATATATATATATCGAGAAGGAGAGAGAGAGAGAAACTGTGCTTGGCCCCGATATGAACTTGGCACTTAATTTACCGTATACACACGCAATGATCAGGCGTTCTTTTTTGTTTTTCAATGGTAAATAAATAGTTTTGAGATTGTACATGGGCGATTTTTCAAGCCCAGCAAGCAACGGGCATCACAAAATCATTGTTTTTTATTTATCATACTGTATATGCGTCAATCTCACAGTCGCGGTGACACAGTTACGGTTACGAAGTGGGTCACATTCTCGATCTGCCTCCATAGTTTCGAAGTAATCAGGAATCGCAGGGTAGTCATAAACGTGCTCACAGATCTATTCTCTGTTTGTAAAGTAGGGGTAGGTGTCGTGAACATACTGAGTTGCTTGTAGCGACGTCGGCATGGCGCGCAGGCTCCGCCCAAGCCAGGCCTCACCACCGACCTCAATGATCAAGGGATGAATGACACAGTTTCTGCAAATCTGGCTTCGAGCACATTGCCGTAGGGAAGCCTTACGCGTGCTCGAAAAGGGTTTGGGCGGAAACAGCGTACCGGTACGTCTGTCTCTACAAGCGCCTCAGTACGTAGACGGCACCTACACCTGTTCACAAACATGAAGTAGGTCTACAGCGTACAGAGCGCTTTCTTGAAGTTCGGCCTGTTTGGCGGCCTTATTTTTAGTTATATGATGTCAGGAGGTGTTAATGAACCTTAATTCAATATAACAAGGGTAACTCATCTTGTGCGAACGGATCCACAATTGCGCAGCTGTTTATACTCTGTGCTTTACAATGCTTATAAACACTAACAGCACCGAGTACCCGAAAGCAATACGGTCAGTATGCAGACACAGATAAAGAATTGAGTAAGGAAGATGGATATTTGCACGTGCTTATGGTCCGTCTAAATTTTAATAGTAGTCACTGCTTTCTTGTGCCCTTAGCTATGATTGATTTTGTGGAGCTCGTGTTATAACAATATTACTACAGTGTTAAAAATTCTTCAGAGAGCAATCTTTCTGATCGTGTTAGAATCGCATAATTAATACGACCATTTTAAGAAAAAAAAGCATGCTTTGCTAACCTTATATGATGCAAACGGCACTTACCGGTGTGTGTGATAATAAATAACACCAGAATGAAGACCCCCATGATTTGCTTCGTCGTTGCCTGTTCATGAAAAAAGAAAGA